CTGTGACCATGGCCGTGCTGCATGCCTGGCATGAGCTGCAGCACTGCAACATGCAGCACGCACAAGAGAAAAGAAGGATGCCTTAATATATGTAAGGCAGTGAGTGAGATCCCGTGAACATTTCTCCCTGACACAGCAAGTAATGTCGGACCCGTGGCTTGAAAAATGTCACAGTCCATTAGCGGCAGTTGTCTTGTCAGACATTTAACCTTAAGGTACGCAGCATTACATTATTACTGATCTGCATTTAGTTCCAGTCCAGCTGAAATGAGCCCTGCGATGCGGGCTGACACCTGACGTGCAAGGCACAACACGCATCCCGCACAACGCGGCCCCCCGGCGGGCTGACCGGACCCCGGCGGGCGGGGCGGGGCGGGCGGCGCTCGGGAGGCGTTGCGGGGCGGGGCGGGGCGGCCGCGGGCGGAGGGCAACGCGGGGCCGCCCGGCGCTGTGCCGGTCCGAGGCCTCGCTCCGGCGCGGCCGTCCGTTCTCATCGCGGTCACCGCTCAGGAGCTGTCAGCGCCGGACTGCTAGGTGCGTGCTGTGCTAACTTATCGGGCATTCTGAGCACACCGGGCAGAATCTAAAAAGCTCTCCTCCTCCAGCTCTCCTTCAACAACAGCGAGCAACAACAGTGAGAAAACTTCAACCTCTTCCTACCTACTCAGCTCCACCGAAGGCATTCCCAAGTAGACGCAATGTAAATGCTGCTAGCTGCAGAAGGAAGCTGATGTTGCCCTAGCTTGGAGCATGAGCATTGCTGCAGCCTGCTGGGACACATTTTGCATTCTGTATCATTAAGCTTAATTCAGGAAGAGTTCTGAGCTCTCCTTATCAATACGATTTGAATAATAAACACAGGGCGTAACCATTACCTTCCACCCCTCTATAGCGTGGAGGAAAAGCACTCTTAAAGGAAAATTGCGTCATGTAATAATCCCCTGTGCAAAGCAGGTAGAACCACACGGGGCAGTGCTGGAGCTGAAGCCATCAAACCACTCCGACGTATGGTTGCTCACTGCCCTTCTACTGCTGCAGACACAACTGCACGTAAATCCTCTTGCAGAGAAGGGGCTGCATGCAGCGCTTCTCTCAGGCAGAGAATTAATTTACTGGAAAAGATGTGGCACAAAAACACTTCAGTAAATCAGCCAGGGTCTTCAGATTTTCAATTTTGGCAGGAAAGAAGCTTTTTCATTTTGTTAAAATCACCTAGAATTCAATTTCCTACATATGTTTTTGCTTTAAAATTAGCTTCAACTATGTCAGGATAAAGTTATTATTATTTTTTTTCTTTTACTGAATTTTTCATATGCTTTTAATGATATAAATTCTTTTAAATGTTTAGGAAATGTTGCACTGATTCCAACACATATTTGTGACAGTTGGAAATACTGAGGTATTTTTAGTACTTAAAAAGTACTCATACAAATGAGAGCACCTACCAACCTCTAACTAGCTCCTCTTTGGAGCTAAGCCCTGTCCAGGAAAGGTAACAGCACTCTGACAAATAGCACCAAGCAGGTGCTCACAGCTCCTACTGATGGGCACAGCGTTCAGCCCCCACCAGGAATGCAGCTCCAGAGGCCACAGCAGTGTACAATGCACAGCTCACCTCAAGTGTCAGAGATCCACATGGCTGCTCCATGGATCACCCCACAGGCACAGAGGGCCATCACAGCCCAGCTTACCAAACACATCCAAAGCAAAGTATAGGAAGACTGCTGCTCTGAAGCTTGAAATACAAAACTCTGCCCATCCTATTGATACTCACTTTTGAATGGGTTTCTAATTGCTACACACAACACCCACAGAAGGACTGCTCCCTAACACATTTCCCCCTACATTTAGGGGTATTTTCCTCTTCACTTCCTTCCAGCACTCCAAGCGATTCACACCGTAGAAGATGAATTTAACTGAGGTTGTCCTCATTAAGCTGACTCTTTTTCATCTATTTAAAACCGCTACACTGCTGACCCTGCAATCGTACCATTTTGCTCCAGACAAAATGCCTTCCCAAATTCTCGCTGAGGAACATGCTTTTGTGCAGTGTGTGCCTGCAGCTATATTTGTTAATCAAGCCATTTTATAAACTACCCCTCAACTTCAATTAAATACATTGCTATTCACAACTGCTGAACTGGGAGCTGTGCTTTGTTCAAGGCTGCTGCAGTTCTGCACCTGGTGAAATGAAGTACAAAGTTGACAAAACGTTCTGGATTCATCTGAGGGAGAGCTAAGTCCAAAGTCCATGTTGTTACCAGCTAGAGACACTGCTGGCAGTAAGGGACTGGAGCTACATAGTGAACTGTGCTGTTAACCAGTTTCCTCCGACCTTGGCATCCCTTGAAAGGATACAATATTTGCTGCTTTTCAAAATGTAAGGAAACATCAGCGCACTTTGGAATTAAAGTGACTGGCCATAATCTCATCTTGCCATCTGCCACCAGTTGCAGATGGCTCCATGATGAGAGACGACTGGCAAGAAACACATCCAGTTGGATTTAGTAACCTCCCCTTTTATCTGAGTACTCTGCAATGGTGCCTGGTACTGGATTACTGATCACACTGCCATCACCAAGTCCCTCCTTGGTCCCAGAAAGATACTCATCTACACAGTTTTGTGCTGACAAAGCTTTCTACACTCATCCTGAAGTTCACGTTAACAAAAAGCAGGAATTGTTTGCAAGTTGTTAAAGCATTCGTTTTCACATCTAATTTTACCTGGCTATTTTTGGCCAAGTGTTGCTTGCCAGAAGCTGGAGCTGCTGTTGTGTAGCATGTCCCTTCCGATGGGGACAACTCAACAGGCGGTGCAAACGCTGCAGTCGAGGCCGTCAGTGGCACAAAACACAGCAACATTTCATTTATCTTCTGAGAAGCAACTGTTAGATCTTTGTTCAAGGATCATCATCAAATAATAATTTTTGTCATAAACAGGCTCTCCAAAGAAATGCCTTTCCCTGTAAACTGATCAAAAAGAACTGAGCTCTCTTCAGAGTATTCTGAAATCTTCAAAAGTCCTTTTGCTCCTTTTCAGTTTGACGCTTGGGTTCTGGAGCACAGCTACCATTTGCTCACTTAACAACTGAACGTGGTGCTAGTGACAAGTGAGAACAACTCTGGGTGCAGAGATGCTGGCTGTCCCCCACCCCTGGAGGTGCTCAAGGCCCTGGGCAAACCATCTAATACCTGATGTGGCAATCAGGTAGTGGGTGGCAATCCTGCCTGTGGCAGGGCGGTTGGAAGCAGATGATCTTTGAGGTTTCTTCCAACACAAGCCGTTCTATGGTTAGGCCAATTTCCCCAAACACTGTGCATAGTCATTTGCAGAGGACTTGCAGTGCTTACAGGCATGCCCTGTTTTCGTCTATTCCTAGAGAACAGGAAAATGAGAACTAACAGGAAGGGTGTACTCCCTTGCTTTCCCCAGGACATCCATGACTGACCTGACCACACACTTGTGCTCTTCAGCCAGTTACACACCAGGGATAAGCAACAATTGTTTTTTCCTGATGCACGCTGAACAAATAATACTCTTCATTCTGTTTAAATTTTTGGGTTTCTCTTTCCACCTTCTTTTGCATCACTGGGGATGGCCACGGTTGGAGAAAGGGTAGCAGTGAGCCGAGCGTGAGATGACGCGGGAGATCCCTTTCTCAGAATCTTCCTCACCAATCTGTCTGTCCAAATGCAGCGTCAGGAAGGAACTTAGTGGTTTTATTGCCTTTTCCTGATGAATGCTTCAACAGTCAGGACGGTACAGGCATACATATGCCAGTGGATCCCCTGCCCCTGAACGTGCCCAGGGCACTAACAGCACTTTGGCCTCTTGTCTGCCTCTCTGCTCCTGGCACATGCTCTAACCTCTTGACAAACAGAACGATTAAAA